CCAAAATAAAATTAGTTGATACAAATAAAAAAAAAAACTTAAACGTAAAAGTTTAACCAAAAAATAAAATAAAATAAAATGAAAAATTTAAAGAAAAAAAAAAAGAAAACTTTTTTTTATATACTTAAACTTATTAAAAGTAAAAAGAAAAAAAAGAAGATAATAATGATAATAATAATAAGACTCGCGTTTAAAATCTATAACCGGCCGGACGTACGTAAGAATAACGGGGGAAAAAAATGACGTCATTTCCCTTTGATAAATGTCTCCTATTACCTGAACAAGTCAACCGCATGAAATTTTCACTCTCTCGTTTTTTTCCTCCCTCCTCCCATCCCCCCACACTCCCCATACAAAAGTCATTTTTCAAATATACTTTAAGGAAAAAAAAAAAGAAAAAAAATGGAGAATTATTATTATATGTGTAACTGTTTAGTGAGGGGGGAAATGGAGGGGGGAAATGGGGAGAGGGAAAAAAAGCTTCGAGCTCACGGGCAAGGGCGGACGAAATAAGGATAGACGTAAAACTTTTAATGCTTTTCCGTGATTTGAATACAAAATTAAGAAGAAAACAAAAAAAAAAAAAAATCGAAAAAAAAAAAAAATTTAATCCATAAATTTTAAAACTTTTTTATCTGGAGAAAGAAAGAAAGAAAAAAAAATTTTTCCCTTCCCCCTCCCTCCCTCCCTCCCTCTTTTTTCCAGATCTTAAACCTTTCATAAACAAAAAAAAAAAAAAATTTTTTTTTTCATAGGTATCTTGGATTCGAACCAAAGACCTTCACATTTTAACTTCGGGTCCTGTTACATTCACATCAGACGACAGATTCACTTGCAATCACGATCTCGAATCATCCGACTGGAGTCTTAAATTAAAAAATTCCAAAATCGATGATTCTGGAATTTACGAATGCCAAGTAAATACCGATCCAAAAATTAATCGTAAAATTATATTAAATGTCGGTAAGTTTAAGTTTTCCTCATCATCATTATTATTATTATTTAACTGTCGTGACGTCATCAACGAATTTGTCGTAACTTTAATAAATAAATAAATAAATTTACAACAACACCCTGTAATGAATTTTCATAAAAGAGAAAAAATGAAAAAATTTTTTTTGCCAAAAAAAAAAAAAATTTTCTTTTTTTTCTCCCCCCCTCCACCGGCATCCCCCCGACATTTTTTTTATTCGTTCCCTTCCCTCCCCTCCTCTACATCAGTATAATTTATTGCTTACGCTTTTAAAGAAATATCTCATTATCATTTTTTTTTTTTTTTAAAAAAAAATCAAAATTCAGTGTTACAAATTTTGACCTTAATAATAATAATAATAATAATTTTACACTTGTGAAATAAAAAAAAAAACTTTTCTTTAAAAATTTGATTTCTTAAATTTACTCGAATAGAAAATAATAATAATAATAATATTTTTTTTTAAAGAATGAAAGAAAGAAAGAAAAAAGAAAATTGTTTTACGAGTTGCCAACTTTTTTTTTTCTTTTTTTTTTTTTTATTTATTGGCACCCCTTTTTGGATTCTTTTCGCAAAAAAATTTTTTTTTTTAAATAAACGATAAATTGACACGATGATGAAACGTCAAAAGCTTGTCATGTGTAAATCATTTTTTTTTTTTTTTTTTTTGTTAAAGTTATCGATTTCGATGATGACGTAGTAAAAAAAGGAAAAAGGGAAAAAAAGGATTAAATAAAAAAAAAAAAAATTATTGACAACGCTCTCAAACATTTTTTACACGTGACGACAAAAATCCCGGTTGTTGTAATAATAATAATAATAATAATAATAATAATTTTTTTTTTTTTATAGTTTCAGGCTACGAAGCTTTCGGTAAGTTACCATTAAAAGACTTCGATGTTCAAATGATCGATGATGAGGGCGAACCTTACGATAAAGGTACGTAAAATATTTTTTTTTTTTTTGGCATAAAAATTTAAATTTTTATTTTATTTATTTATTTGTTTATAATTAGGAAAATCTTTAACGAAAATATTTGGAAAAGAAGAACAATATGTTAAAGTAAACAGTACGATTACATTTACGTGTTTGGTCATTGCACCGGAAGAAACATTAACGTCAATCGAATGGTTAAAAAATGGCCGACAAATATCATTTCAGGTATTATCAATTAAGGAAAATCAAACGGGAGGAGGGAAAAGTAAAAAGAAAATTTTTTGTTTGCGTTCCAGGCGTCCAGAGGAGGAATAATCGTAGATACGGAAAGAAACGAAAGAAAGGCAACGAGTCGATTGACTTTAGCTGACGTCAAAATGAACGACAGTGGAAATTATACGTGTAAACCTGGAAATGCAAAAAGCCATTCCGTTTCATTAATCGTTGTTGATGGTTTGTTTGTTTGTCTGCTCGTTTGTCACAATAAAAACGTTTGAATTTTATTTAAAAAGAAAATTTTTTTTTTTTTACAGGAGAACGCATTCAAGCAATGCAAAGGCACAACGACAAAAAGAAAAACGACAGCAACAGCAGTGAAAAAGAAAAGAAAATCAATTTTTATTTATTCATAATTTTTTCGTGCCTTTTTTTTATAAAATTCCAATTTTAATACGAAACGTTATTATTATTATTATTATTATTTATTCGTGATATTGTAGGTTTTATTTTATTTTAATATGTTATTAATAATTTTTTTATATTAATAATAATAAGAAGAATATTTCTAGTCAAAGTTAATAATAATTAATTATGTATTATTTTTTATTTTGGAGAAATTCGCGTTTTTTTTACATTAATAATGTTTGTTATGTTAATAATGAAAAAAGAGTCAAAGGAAAAAAGGAAGAAGAAAATTCAAAGGTTAAATATTTTTTAATAAGCGACGAAATCTGGATTTCGATGACATGAAAATGGGGTTTGAAAATGCAGGACATTAAATATCAGTTAAATTCCAATAAAAATAAAAAAAAAGAGAAAGGAAAAGTAAAAATGACGAAGAACATATTATTAAACGTCGTAGTAGAGAAAAGGAATTTCGATGGCGGCGGTGGTGGTGGTGGGCGGTGGATGGCGGTCGCGGTGGCAGTTAAGCCAAAGATGAAATTAAACGTGGAAAAACCGTAAAGGGAAAGCAGGAGTAGAAGGAGGAGGAGAAAGAAGAGTGGATTTCCAAAGAATTTTAGTTAAACTCCTTTTTCTGAGAGTTTTTGAAAAATTTCTTCCTTTTTCCGGAGATTTGGCGGCAGTGGCGGTGGCAGCGGTGGCGGCGGGAGCGTGTGTAATAAAGTGGAACGGATATAATAGTCAAATTTTTTTTTTTTTTTATACATATAAATGCAGGTATAAATGTTTAAAAGTCAGACATTTTTCCACAGTCAAATTTAACTCTTATGAACAAAAAATAATAATAATAATAAAATAAGGATTGCAAAACTTGATCCAGGGCTCCCAGGATAAGGAAACGACTCACGAGTTTCTTCAGCTAGCTCGAGTTCACCCAACCAGAAGACGGATATTGTCTTTGTTTCCTCTTCCTTTGTGTCACTTTATTTATATTATTTTTAATAAAAGCGCTTTTCCAAATAAAAAATTCACCTTTTTTTTATTATTATTTTTTTCAAACCCAAAATAAAATTGAACAAATAATTTTTTTTTTACACAAAAACGACAACATTACATGTGAGCGTAAATTATTATTATTATTATTATTATAAAACTAGAAAAGGTAAGAGAATTCGTTATCATTTGGAAAATTGTACTAATTGAAAGTAGTGGTAAGTTTTACGAATGAAATAATTGCCAAGTGGAAAATGGTTGCGGTGGCAATATTTTATTTTCTACGTTCAAATTATTCAACCAGAAGGCGAATATGGCAAAACACTAAATTTAACACCGTAACTAACTTTTACCTAAATTATCGACTTTTTTTGTCTTCTGCTATTTTCGAGTCTTTTTTCCTTTTTTTCCTTTTTTGTTTGTTTACGTCATTTCCGTTCGTTTTAAAATTTTTAACTTGATTTTATTTTTTTTTTATTTTACACCGTCGTTTAAATTGTTCTACTTTATTATTATTATTATTTATGTGTCCCGTCATAAGAATAAAATATTAGAAAAAAAGAGAAACCGGAAACGAATAATAATAATAATAAAATCTAAAAAAGAAAAAAAGGAAAAAATTTTTATTTTTATTAAAAAAATATATAAAAGGAAAAAAAAAAAATTTCAATGTCACTGATAGCTAAAAGCTAAAAACTTTTTTTTTAATATATATAATATCTTTTTTTTCTCTCATCACGTGTAGGCTCTTTTTTTTCTAAAAGGAAAAAAGGAAAAAAAGGAATTTATTATAAAGAAAATTTTTCAATAAAAATGATCAAAAAGAATAAAAATCAAAACTTTTAAAAGATTTGTTTGTTTTATTAAAAAAAAAAAAGGAATGAAAATTTTCAAAGGAATTTTATTCCTTTTTTCCTTTTATTTATTTATATACTGTATTAAAAAAATAATAATAATAATGATGATAAAATAATAATAATAAAAAGTTTCGGGTTGTTGTTTTTAGTTATCAAATATTTTAATTATCGGTTTTATTTGACATTTATTTACGGAATAAAAAAAAAAGTTTAATAAGTTATTTTAATATTACGTATATGTATGTTATGTAAATATTTATGTACATAACATTTATGTAGTTATTTATTTTTTTTGGGGGGAAGGGGGGAGAAGTCGACGGATAAAAAAACACAAAAAAAAAAATTTTTTTTTTACTGTTTTCTTTTACGTTTTGCACGCTCTACGAAATTTTTGTTTTTTTTTAGTTTACTACTGCCACGTCATTTTTTTTTTTTTTTAATACGAATAAAAGTAATAAAAAGTTTTTTTTTTAAAAATTTTTCGAAATGGCGCCTTTTTCGAAAAAATAAATAAAATTATGAGGATTTAATTTTTTTTTTTCTGTAAAATTATAAAATTTTTATTTATTTTTATTAAAAGTGTATTTAATATTATATTAAGGGATAAAGTTTTTTTTTTTTTGGGGGGGTTCTAAAACCACGTTTTTTTCCTTTCCTCTTTTAAATTCTTTTAATAATAATAATAATAATAATAATCGGGGTTTTATATATATACAAATAATTCCATTTAAGAATAATATTAAATGACGACATTTTTGTTTTTGTTATTGTTTTGATAAGATAATTGATAAGGATTTAAAAATTGAATTAATTTTTAGAGAGTGTGTGTGTGTGCGTGTCAGATAAAAAATAATAATAAAAATTCGCAAATTTTTTAAGTAAAACAATAATTTAATAATTTTTAAAATTATTTATTTATAAATGTTTTTTTTTGTACAATTTTTAAAATTTTTAAATGATGTTTATATTTTTTTTTGAAAACTTATTATTATTATTATTATTATTATCAACTACGGTATCATTCAAAAGCTGAAATATATATATATATATTTTTTTTTTAAATATTAATAATACATCTATGAAAAAAAAACAAATAACAAAACTGACTATGGAAAAATGTGTTGCTGATAAAAATGAAAGAAAAAAAATGGGAGAAGGGGGGAGGGAAGAAGGGGGAATTGTGATGTGTTTTTTTCGCGTGTAAAAATTCAAAAAAAAAGAAAAGAATTAAAATGAAAATGGTCGGGATCACCTGAGAACAAATGAGCAACACTGGAAAAAATATGTTTGAGCGGCCGCAGCCATACCAGGAAGAAGAAGAAGGACACATTCAAAAATTGTATACGTTCCAACGCCACCATTATGCTCTCCATGTTGCATGGCTGCTGGATGTTCACCTGATAACAAAATACAATCTTTCATGTTGATACGTTTTCAAATTTAAAAAAGAAGAAGAAAAATTAGAAAATTTTCCTCACCGTTTAAAACGTGAACCCAAACACTTGAGGGATTTGCATTGCTTGGTACGCATGTATAATTTCCAGAATCAACGAGTGAAGCTTTCGTAACAAGCAATTTACTCGTGGTTCCAGATTCTGTTTTTTCAGTCTCTAAACTGATTCCACCTCTTGGAGAGTCAAAATCAACGACGGAAGGACCGTGATACCATAAAACAGAACTAGGAGGTGTAGAATGGACATTTACCGAACACGTTAAACTTATCGTGCTTCCTTTTTTAACGTAAACATCTTCTGGACCTTGAATGGTCGCTTGAGCAGCTAATCATAATAATAATAATAATAATTATATATATATTCAAAAATTTTCCTACTTTTTTTTACGTGAATTTTTTCAATAAAAAATGACATGATGTGATAAAATGAATGAAACAGATGGAAAACAAACTATTTTCCCTCCCCCCATTTTTTCCCATCCTTTTCTTACTCCCTCCCCCCAAAAAAAAAATTTTATCGACCCTTTTATATAGTGAACCACTTTGTGTTTTTTTTCCTTCTCTCTTCATAATAGAATAAATTTCTAAAAAAATTTTCCTCTCAATAATAATAATAATGATAATAATATTTATAAAATCTTTTAAATCTTTTATTAATAAATAAATAAATTAATAAAAATTTATGTGTAAGGTAATAAAATAAAAATTATTATCAAAAGTTTTATTCAAAAAGTCTTTATAAAGTTTTATATCAACTCGTGTACTACTATTATACTACTATTATTATTATTATTATTATTATTATCATTATTATTTTGTCGAAATTTTTTTTTTTTTTTTTATTAATTACCCATAGAAAAAAATTTTTTTTTATTTATTTACATTTAAAATTTATTATTTTATTATTACCTATTAACGATTACTTTTTCTTTACATAAATTTTATTACATCGAACGGGGGGGAGGGGAAAACAAAAATAAATTATCAGATAATCACTTGTTGCAATTTTTTTTATTTTTGTGGGGGGGGAGGGAGGGATCGAATTGGAATAGAAAAAAAAACGTTATTTTTTCGTCGGGTAAAAAAAGTCATCGGAAACTAAATTATTTATTTTCTAATCGAAAAAAATTATTATTATTATTATTATTATGAATTGTAAATAACGTGAAATGTGGTTTAAATTTCAATGTTTAGCTTATAAATAGGAGGAGGAAAAAAATTTTTTTTTGTTATTCAAATTATCGAAAAAAAAATAATAAAACAACATAATAAATAAATAAATAAAAGCTATTCAAAAAATAATAATTCAAACTAAATAATAATAGCATGCATAATTAATAATAATAATAAAAATAATAAAAAGAAAACACTAAAAAGAAAAACTGTTTTTTTTTAATTGGGTCCTACCATATTTCGGATTCCTAGGCGCGTTACGACTTCGGCTGTCAAAACCGTCAGAGGACTTGTCTGGAAAAAGGAAAGACAACAAAAAAATTGAGTCAATGATATGTCGACGACGACCACACACACAAAAAAAAAAAAAAATTGCAAAAAGAAGAAGTGACATCTGACACTTTGAAGTGATTTTTATAGAAAAGACTTCATTTCCCCCTCCCCCGCCGCTTCTCCTTCTCCTTTTTCATCATCATCATCATCATCGTCTCTATTATTATTATTTTTATTATGGTGACGTTTAGTATTGTTAACATTTGTTGAATCGGAAGTAGATAATTTTAATATCATTACAATAAAAAAATAAATCGAATCGAATCTCGTTACTTAATAATAATAATAATAATAGGGTAACCTATCGAATTAGGGGGGCCAACTATTAATTAATAAAATTTTTTTTTTCCACAAGTTTTATTTAAATTTTTATTACCTTTTTTTCCCCTATCAATTAAAATAATTTATCAGGGTAATAAATTATCAATTAAATTTTTAATTAAAAATTACTTACTACCCGCCATTTTTTTTTTTTAAACGAATAGATCTCTCTCATCGACAAGCGAATAAAATTTAAAATTATTTCAACAAAGGAAAAAAAAAGAAAAATATTTGA